CCCTTAGAAGTATCCTGGCTAGTCGCCCTCGCTGTCCTAAGCGAGTAACTCCTCTAGTAGACTGTCTTCGTAGAAGGACTCTATCTCTAGTTACTACGATAGCGTTAGCAGCTCGATAGTCCTTATATATATCGCAATTTCTTCTAGCGTACTATGCATAAGGCTATCTATTAGGTCTTTAGTCTTACCGTTAAATACTAAGTTTCCGTTAAAAACAACGTCTCTCGTGCTAATTACTTTAGCGAGTAAGAGTATCTAAATGTGATAGATGTTTAATAATTAGTATCTAACTAGATATCTAATCTATGCCTTTAGGTTAAGGCGTTATAGGCGCGACTTCCCTCTATAGGTGTTATTTATTATAGCGAAAGCTTTGCAGCTATATACCTTAAGATAAGTAATGTTTAGTTTTTAGAGAGATGTAACTATTCTGTTACTAAAAGCTACTCATATAAAGAAGACTTCGTATAGTGTCTTCTAGTAATTGTTATAGTTTAGGGTTCTGTTATAGAGATAGACTGCGGCTTAAGTAATTTCTAGCTATAGTTCTTAAGAGAGATTAGCGTTAAGTCGCATTGCGCGTGCCTTCTCCTTGTTTACACCCCCTAAGCGCTCGGCTCTACTATTTTGTGCCTATATATCTAGGGCTAAGGGCTTAACTCTAATGTCTTGTGTTGCTAGCTATCGCTTAACATCTAGCTTAATAGTTATAATCTCGTTGTTAGACTCCATAGTCTTAATAGATATATCATAATAGTTCTTTATAAATAAGAAGAAAGTTATAAGTAGCTAGATAATAGAATTAGCTATCTAGTTATTAGTAAAGTATAGGTCCTATTAGAGCCTAAAAAACGATTTGTAATAAGCATTTAGCTCTTCTCTCTTATAATCGCCTGTGCTTTGTATATATAGAAGTTAATAGCGAGTTACTCTTTTAGGCCTTCGTCGTTAGTTCGCGGTAAGCGTCGTGTCTATCTCTTAGACTTAGCTCTTTCGCAGGAGTCGCATTATACTGTTGTTACCCCTTAAACTCGCACCCCCTTAGACTACTACACGAGGTGCTTAATTACTACTAGTTTTAGGTAGCTAAGTCTCTTGTGCTATAGCATCGCTAAAGCCTTCTTTAGTCCTCTCTACGTGCGTATTGTAATAGCTTTTATATAGATAAATGCCTAGGATAGAGGACTATACTCTAGTACCTACTAGCTAAAGGTTTCTAAGAGGTTACTAATAACTTAATTATCTAGTCCTCGTAGGTTAGTTAGGTTTAATTTAGTATCCTACTAGATTCCTCTCTACCATAGCAGTTAGAAGGATACTAGATTTTATAAAACCTCTAGGTAGATTACTATATCTCGCAGCACTAGCTTTATTATCTTATACTAGTATTATAGCGTAATGTCTGTAGTCCTGTATCCTTATATCTAAATCTTTATACTACTAGCCTATATATAGTCTGCTAATAATAACGGGGGGTAGTTGTATATCTAATCTAGATTATTTGTGATGTAGCACGTCGCTCCTAAATTAAGAATAAATAATTATGCGAGAGAGTACGTGTGCTTAGCTGTCCTACTTTGTGCGATAGTAGTAAGCGCAGCGTCTACGTCTATAATCTTTTAGCCTTCTAGTTATTTAATTAGTAACTAAGAAAGATCTAGGGTTAGTGTATGTAATTGCTTTAGCACTAGTGTGCGAGTATAGGGTCTACTTTATCCGTAGATTAGCCCTTAAAACGATGAATTATATATGCGTCTAAACTTAATAAACTTGCTTATTATTTTATTAGGTTGCCACTATTTTAGGGCAGTCTCTAGGTAGAGATAAAAGTATATTCTAATGCTATAATGTTGTCTACATACTTAGTATTATACTCTAGTAGTAGTAAAAGAGTCTTATTCTAAAGATCTCTTAAGCTTAGACTTTATACTTCTAGCTTATACAATAGTATTAGGGTCTGCCCTAGTTTAGCGTTATTTACGAGGACGTCCCTAGTACGTTATTAGCGAGGTCTACCCTAGTTTTATTTTTATTAATAGCGCGAATTTCGAACTATAAGGCGTCCCTAATAGCTCCTAGTTAGATCTACTGCTAGTAAGAGTTAATCTATATAGTCTATTATAAGCTACTATAGCTACTTTATACATCTCTAAACTAAGGGGATAGTTTATTATTATATACTCTTAGAACCGTTTTTTATCTACTTCTAGCTTATGCCTACTGCCCTACAACTATTATCCTAAAAATTAGTAGCCTATATAGGTGTAGTTTTATTAACAGCTACTAAGAAGTCTTTTATTATTATGCTAAGCTAGGATAGCTTAGGGACATTATACGTCTCCGCGTAGGTTACAGCTTAGTTATACTTAGCTAGCTACGTGTCCTATTGCGCCGCGCTTCTTATAGGCCGTAAGGCCGCAAGATAGCGCTCGCGTGCTTGGTCTTTCTTAGTCTTGTTATCAACCCTAACGGTTAGTTGCAGGTTAGCAATCTACTTGCGTAATGTCTTATCTGGGAGACAGCATGTGCGTAGTAGGTATAGTAACACGCTTAATTAAATTAAGGTTATAATATATTTGAAGCTCGATTGCTCCTTTTTGTACTAGTGTTGGTCGCTCTTGTACTACTCTATCGACATACGATAGTACTTAAGATCTTCTTTAAATACCTTTTGCCCGCTGCTAGATAGCTCGCTTAGGCGCTCTAGTTCTCTAATGCTAGCAGCTGCTTAGTAGTTAGCGAATACTAGGATTCTAATGTCTTTTAGCTCCCGAAAGAGCTAAGTAGTAGATTTTAGGTTAATCTTATCTTAATATTGTGCGCTACGCAACGCGCTTATAGTTGCAGCATCCACCTAGTATAGTCTAACTAGTCGCGTAAAGTCACGGTCGCGTCGCGGTTGGTAAATGTGGTCATTTTAGTAGGTAGGTAAAGGTAGTAAGACTCTTAACTGTCAGATATTCACTACTATCTAGAGTACTAATGAAATAGGTAATAATAATAGTAATGTTAATTATTTCTTAGTTCTGTCTACGGTTGTAGGCACACCTAGGGGGTGCCAAGCCTTCCTGTGATCCGATTAGTTCTCACAGATGCCGGGTTGCGCTAGTCTAACCCAGCGTCTGTACGCTCTCTTCTTCAACAGTGCTATTATCTGACAACCTTATTAAAGGCGTAGCATTCATAGTGTATAAGCTTATATTACCGTAAAAGGAGATAACTAAGCTTTAAGTTATAAATAAGGCTACTACGCGGCGTAAATTATACAAAAAAAGCAATTTTATGTAGAAAAGTATATAATAGTAGAAGATAGCTAGCGTAAGACTACTCTATCGAAGTTTAGGGCGCGTAGTAATAAGAGAGTAAAAAGGCGGGTGCACGCTAAAGAAAGTAAACTGTTTTAAAGACGCTATAGATGTAAGGGGCTACGCTCAGGGAGCTATCGCACAGGTATACTGGAGTTGTATTCGATGGGGAAGAGAACTACAAGCTATCTCGTGCTAAAGGTTATTCGGAGAGCGGCTCGGAATAACCTTTTGCCTATGGACTGTGCGGTTGGTCTGGGGGTCGTTCGGACCGAGATATCATCGTGGATTCACAAACTGGGCTCCAGCCCATCACAATAGACGCTGTAGTTATATAGAGTATAACGTGTAAACGTGTAACTATATAGTAGAAACAGCCTCTTAATACTGTTTTATTCTCTTCTATACTATATCGTGCTAAGGTGGGATGTCATAGGCTATAATAGAGGTAGTTTTAGTGGGGTCTTAGTAGAAATGTTTCGAGAAGCGTGCTGATCCGCGAAGCATGCACTTACGTTACTTATTAGTTAGTATAGCCGTGCGATGTCCTAGTTTGCACACACCTAAACGCGTGGCAGAGATCAAGTGGGCGCAAGATATAGGATACGCACAGAGCAAGTGTGTTGCTAAGCGCATCTGCGTGGCAGCTGCTAAAATAAGTAGTGTTAAGCCTAGAGTGCTACGCGTTAGTCAGATCGTCGCAGATACAGTGTACGGAGTATAGAACGCGACAGAAGCCATCCCTCTCACAATGCAATCTGCCCTCACCATCGGAGCGCTGCCCAGACTTCAGGAATCGCCCAGCTGGATGCCCGTTAATGTAGTTGCGAGAGCAGTGGCAAAGATCTCGCTCAGCGATGCAAGTGCGGGCTTCGCGCTTCAAATGATGATCCGGTGGCGAATCCTCCCATCAAGCTTGTGGATTTCTTTGCATCAAAATACGACTAGGACACGTTTGGTCCGTCGAGGAGCTATGAAACGTGTATTGCGCGGGCCTTTTCACCGTCGTTGGATAGTGCACCCGTGCTCGAGGCAAACGCCGCACAGATTTCTATGTCCTCAAAAAAACTAAACGTGGCTATTGGACTACTACTACTATCAGTTTTGGAATCTCGTAAATGAATATATTAATGTCATAACTTTGGGCCAACGCCCCCGTCGAACACTCGCGCTTTCCTCTCCATATCCTCCCGTTCCAGTTGCACATCGTACCGCGGCCAAGATAGAAACGCCAAAATTAAAAGTAAATGCGTATCGAGCCGATACCATGGTGCATCCTTGTATGAAAGTAGACAATATGCTTAGTGAGGTCTGCTACTGCCATTTTTCGTCTGCCAATTACATGGAAAGAACAACATGATAGCCAGGATGATATAGCAGTGGCCTATGTAACGATTTATCAATATAATTGTCCCACTGCCACACCTCCAGTCCCCCAGCAGCGGCCAGATTACCTTGATCCGTTCCAAAATATCGCCCCAGCCCGCTAGTCTTCCGCTCATCGTCACCGTCCCACATTGACTTGACAGAAGACTTTCCTACGCTGTGTTTTTACTTGGGATCGGGATCGCAGTGGCATTGGCAATTTCCAAAATAGTCCCGAAGGGCAGTGTAACTACCGTCCTTGCTACACTACATAACTTTTAGTTTCTTCTGTACTAACACTAAAGTTAAATTTCAAACTTACTTTATTCTCTATGCAAAGCCGAGGGCATTCCTTATGATCAGAAAGGCAGTTGCTATCTATCCCCTTTTCGTCCGTATTAGCAAAGCTTGCAATGAGGTATTGGATGTACAAACCCTGAAGCCCTCCGGGGCGCTACGGCAATCATTAGCATATGCAGCAGACACGGTGCCGATGAACGGCAATGCCATGATAATGACGTTGAGAAGACGAGCGTGCATTGTAGCGGCCTTGAAATCTGCGTGAAGACGGTGAAGTATGTAAAGTGATACAAAAAAAGCTAAGAGAGTTGCGAAGAGAGTGGTATCGATGGGCTTCCGTAAGGGCACAGCTTGATATATCTTATAAAAGAGTTGTTCGAGAGGTTCTAGACTAGAATTGGTAAGTGCACCCGACTGCAAGGGTGTATGTGCATATCGCGCAGGAACACTGGGTCGTCAGGATGTTGTGGTCTCGTCTGGTTTCGTTATTGGTACCGGCTTTATTACCCGAGTTGCCTCGGATATTTCGGATACTCTCCGTCGCGGATCTCGGAGACTTAGGCCGAAGAAAAAGTGATTTTACATTGTCGACCCCTAGGCATCCGTTATGCTCGTGGGAAGCGTATATCTGGCGTGTTATGATTCATTGAGGATACAGCCTACTCCTACTATGGAGAGGGCCGGCATGAGCCTTGTCCGCTTCTTCGATTGTTGAGAGTCCACAGAACTTGCAATGAACGCTCAAAAAGAGAGTTCACTGCCACGTGTGATGATTTAGCGGTCGTCTTCATGCGTGTATATTATATTGATATTAAAGGAGTCATATTTTTCACGAAGGACCACAAAGAATAACTACTAGTTTTTAGCTCGGATGATAGCGTCTCTTAGTACACTTTTGGCCATATAAACTGCGTTAGTATTCACATAATTCAGCAGTCCTGACATAGGTAGCGCTGACGTGAGGAGAAGCAGGGATGCGTTGGTGGCACGTGCAACTAGGTAGGCCCGAAGCGTGTTGGCTGTGACTAAAGCCCCAGAGCACGCACAGCAACTGACTACAACCAGGTTCCCCGGAAAATGGCATAGCAACCGCGCTGCAGGAAAGCGTAACACACGTTGTAGAAAAGAACGCACCGCAACCTTATAGAGCCCCGTTCGCGCGCATACAGTACTTAACTACAGTAGGCTATTGCCAATCGACGCATAACATGGTTGGCAAGCGAGCGCCGCACCCAAAAACACACCAAAAAGCGGAGTTTGGGCAACTCAATATCTCAACAACCAGCAGATAGATTTTTCTCAAAGGCTCTACTAGAACTCTAGGATTACATTTCTATAAGACTCTATAATTATAGGGCTCTAGCTACTCTAGATGTAGAGATATAGAATTTGGAGGCTAAAAAAGCGGGAAGTTTCTGTTTCTGCTTAATAACTCTACAATCAAGTTGGCCATAGCCCTGTAACTATGAAATATACATGCTTATGTGTGTGCAGCTTCACAGTAAGATTTTAAGAAAAATCTATCTGCTGGCCGTTGAGATATTGAGTTGCCAAAACTCCGCTTTTTGGTGTGTTTTTGGGTGCGGCGCTCGCTTGCCAACCATGTTATATACGTTTTAAGAATTACTAATTACTCTAGAGGTAAGCTTCTGGTTCGCTATCTACTAGCTACGCCTCTATCTATTAACGTTCGCCACGGGCGAGTGGCATAATCAGCTAAGAGCCAACCAAAACTAGAACTTATCACGATGGTATTGCACTATATAGAACGGTAAATAAAATTTATAGTAAGCTCTTCTACTAAGAATCTACCGCTGTATCTTATCGTTGCAGAAATATATATATTCTTTGGCCGGAATGCTTAAAGATGAGTCTTTTTGCGTTTCGATACTTACATGTATAACTATACGTAACTTATACCTAGTCTTACTATAGCGTCTATAGCACCTTTATGATAGCTTACCTATTTTGATACGCGCTTTCTTTTTCGCCTTCTACCTATTACTACGTGCCCTAAACTTCTTTAGAGTTATTAAGCGTACGCCTTTATTAACTAACGTAGTTAATTATTGTTACGGATCTATAGACTCGGCCTATAGCCCCCATATCGATAAAATCCTTATCTTATCGGACTAGCGCCTTGGCGCCCACAGCACAAGTTCGGGCTCACAACGTAGATAGCTCGACAGCTTATATCTTGTCAAATCTAATCTTTCTTAGTTAATCCCTCACCTTATACAAGCTCCCTTTTAAGACAGGCCCTAGAAGCTTATTTGCGAATTATATTTTCTTGTCGCTACGAGCGACACGCCAACGACAGAAACACTTACACGACGAGGATTGTATTAACTATACGTACCGCCGCAGAAGAGCCGCCGTAGTAAAAACACCTAATTGCCTAGCTGCATAGCTATACCTACCTACTAGAAAAGATCCGCCGGCGCTTCTAGCGCTGCCGCTAATAATAGCCTAACTAAATAAGATAAGTAAGGATGCCTACGACTAGGGTGCTTAGAACAGTACACAAACTATTCTAGCAGAGTCGCACCTTAAGTATAGTAATTTTAAGAATAACAATAACCTTACTAAAGTAGAGAAGGCGACTATTAGATAGAAACTCGCCACCTATAAGAGATAGGTTACTTTTCGCCGTAGAGACGGCTAAGGTAATAGTAAGGACAAAGGTAATAACGTTAACACCGCTAAACGCTATTAATAGTCGTATAGACAGTCTCTTAAGAAAACTATTAAGCTAGTAGGTAAGATTTCTATAGAACTAGGCTATAAGAATAATATAGAAAACATATATCTACGTTTTTATAGTATCTACAGTAACAATAAACGCGAGATCCTCGCAGACATAAGGTGTGAGGGATCGATCAAGAAAGATTGGATTTGACAAGATACAAGCTATCGAGCTATCTACGTTGTGAGCCCGAACCTGTGCTGTGGGCGCCAAGGCGCTAGTCCGATAAGATAAGAATCTTATCGATATGGGGGCCATGGATCCGTAACATAAGGAACGTTAACAACTTCACTACTTATATTACTAAACACGCTAAGAATATCTTTAGACACCTAACAGATGTACTTAGTTAGATAGCTAAATAAGCTAAATAGCTAGACTAAGCACATAATAAAGCCCGCGTATAATAAGAAGTAGCTAACGCCTACGTAGAGCGCGCCTAGACGTAAGCTCGCGCTGCCGCTATAGACGAGCTTACCTAAGTTACCTAGAAGTATAACTATATAATTACTACTAAGAATAGATACGCTTTACGGCTAGTAGTGCTTAAAGATAAGCTTATAGCCTTGCGTAAGTTAAACGTAAAGCTCTACTCTTAGATTAGTAACCTCTATAACAAGAGGAGTGTCTTATAATAGTACGTAGGCGTCCTAATAAATAGAAATTTATATAATATATGCCTAGCTTAGTTCTAGTTATCTCCTCCTTTAGTAACTATAAACCTGTTTATTAGCACTAGCACTAATAACTTAATACTGCCTCCCCCTATAACATGTTTTATAAGCGAGCCGCCAGTATAAGCGAGCCGCCACCTAACCAAACTTTTGTAACTTCAAAGCGACGCATCTCAATAACACGATAATACTATTGCTAGATATTAATATAACTTGGTTGGCAAGCGAGTCGGTCAGACAAGCGAGTCGGTCACCCCACCAACTTTTGCAACTTTAAAGCGATATATCTCAACAACACGATAATATTATTGCTAGATATTGATATAGTAGACTACTCTATATTAATAGTATTAGTGTTGCATGTGCGCGAGTTGTGCCCGGTCTCTTTGCATCTAGTGCAGCGCCTTTGAGCGCGCTGGCTGAGGCCTGATCGCGCTCCTCCTCGACGCTCTTCATGAGCAATCTGCTGGTCAGCCTCATTTTGAGCTAGTATATCCTCTCCAGTTCCTTTTATAAGTACTCCGTGCTTCTGTATACGCCTTTTAGAGCGCCGCCTACGCGCTGAGGCTGCGCTGTTAGCCTTCTCAAGACTGGAGATCCGATCGCGCATTAGCTCAGCAGAGAGCATTATCACCTCAGCGCCCTTCTTCAGCTGGTCAATTGCCTCAATAATTGATGCTGGTGATGAGCTCTTGTGCTGGCGCACGCGCTCACGTATTAGGCTTGACTGAGCTTCAAGCTCACGCGCGTTGCTCGGCGTTTGAGCTACCCAGGGAGCCTCTGGCAGAGCTGCTGCTGGAGGAGTAGGTGTACGCAGCTGTACATCTAGCTTTGATAGAACAGCCTCTGGTTGTAGAGGAATAAGGCCTGCGCCGCGGAAGGCTGAGCAGATGTTGGCTGGCGTGAACGCTTGATCAAATGCTATCTTGAATGCTGGCAGAAACTCTAGCTTGGTGATGTGGTTGATGTGGTTGCGCATGAGGCTCTCCACCTCACGGCTGTACGCGCGCTTCAATGGCGAGAAGCAGCCAACATCAAGTGGCTGGAGTAGGTGAGATGAGTGAGGAGGCATACAGAGCGTATAGATATTGTTCTCCTTGCAGAGCTCCTGGAACGCTAGAGATTGGTGGCTCTTATGGCCATTAATAATAAGCAGGCGACGCGCGCCTATAGTACGAGCCTGCGTGTGAGCGTTGAAGTGCTTTAGCCACTCAACTCTAAGCTTATTATTTGTCCAGCCATTGTTGCTGACTGCGATTGCCCAGTCGCGTGGGATCTCAGCTTCCTCGTACCAGGCTGATAGGTGGTACTGGCCAGCGAAGATGAGGAACGGTGGGACTGACCAGCCACCAGCGCTAATAGTAGCAATTAGCGTTACCCACTCGCGATTGCCTAGCTAAAGAGTCTTCGGCCTGCCTCTCCTCTCTGCTCCTGTTATAACCAGCTGCGTTGTAATCTTGCCCATTATAAAGCCAGCTTCATCAAAGTTGTATATATCCTCATCGCAGATACTAAGCTAGCCTTTGTCTTTCTCTATAAGCTCAAACAGCTCTAATAAGGGCTGGATTCTCACAGAGAGCTCTCTGCTATCGTACGCTCGATGAAACACGTCAAGACTATCTCGTCCGCTTGACAAAGTTGGCTGGCCACTTCTGCCAACCTGGCCAGCGCCGCGCGCAGCCAAGCAGCTTATCAGCCATATCGCGTGCAGCTGCGTAGGTAGGCGCAAACCCGCGCTGATCTAGATGAAGTATATTGCTAACAATCCCCTCCTCTTCTCTCCTGGGTAAGCTTCCTTAAGTTAGGCTGGCAATCGCGTC